CACCAGGTCACCTCTGCTGGTTTGGGCAGTGGGGCACCTGGCAGGGCCGGGCACGGAGCATCCCTCCCGCAGCCCGCTGGGACCTGCCTGAGGACCACGGGCAGCAGTGGGTGACAATAAAAGGCGACAATTCTGCTTACTTCCTCCTCCCCTGGGCACCTTCCGCTCCTCTCCTGCGCTGCCTCACCTTATGACCAAGGGCCGGCCCTAAACGAGCTCCCAGCGAGGTCTCTTCAGGGACCATAACTTCATTTTACATGGCGCTCTCACCCCCCAGTGCTCTGTCCCCACAGGCCCGCGCTGCCTGCCGCTGCCTGCGGCTCGGTATCGCAGCGTTCAGCGGGGCAGCGCGCAGCCCCATCGCCCGTGCAGAGGAAAGCGCCGACAGCTCTTTGGGTGCTTTGCTCATGGGCTCACCCTGAAGTCCAAGACCAGCAGAGCCCCAGTGCAGCCACCTGCTGCCCCTCCCATTGGAGCTGGAGGATTTGGGCTGAAATTGCCCATTTGCGATAAATCCTGATGACACTTTGTGAACGTGCTGAGGACAGTATAACTTGGTGGCTGCCTCTTTATAGCAGGAGAAACAAGCAAATCGTTTTCACACCCCCCAAAAAAGGGCTTTGCTGAAGAGCAGAAGAAAACCACCAGCAATCCTGGGGACATTTCAAGCCCCTGGTGAGGGCAGCGCTGTTGTGCCAGCAGTCCAGGCTTTCTCAGCTATTCCGCTCAAATCCTCCTTTTTTTTTCTTTGGGGGGTTTTCCCCCTTCCCCAGGGGAAAATTTCCCCCTTCCCCAGAGACAAATCAGCATGAAAGCCACTCTTGGTGCGGCCATAGGTGCTGCCGGCATCACACCCGTCCCCACGGGGTTTGGAGCATCTTATGAGAGGAGGTCTGTATGGAAACACAGTTTTTATAAGCCACCCCTGTCAGACCCTGCCCGGGCACCCTCGGGGAGGCACGAGTGCTCCCCACCCAGGAGCCAGAGCGCAGCGTGATTTGGGTGCAAATTCACCCAGCGAAGGATGAAGAACCGACTCCAACAAGCCCTTGTGCGAGAGCTGCGCCTGCCGGGAGCACAGACCTGGCCGCGGGCGGGCTGGATTTCCGCAGAGATGGTATGAAACTACACACCACCATGTCCCAGTGCAAACCAGCAGCCGGCCGGACACCCCCACTACACTTCCTCCACCCGAGGCCAAGTCCTGGTGCTAAAGAAAAGGCTGCAGAGAGACTGCAAAGATCCCCTGGATTTTTCCTTTTCAGGTTTTGAGTGTTCAGCACGTACCACCCTGAGCCAAGCGAGCAGCAGCTTGAGGAGACCAGGGGGGGACAGACCCGGACCCCCCAGCCGTCTGCCCCGCCGGTGCTTACCTGTCGACTGCGATGGCTGTGAGCGTGAAGACGGAGACGTAGACAGTCATGGGCTGCATCAGGAAGACAAAGTAACACAAAAACTTCCCGAAAACCCAGCCCTGGGGGTTGAAGGCATAGGCCAGGGTGAAGGGCACGCACGTGGCGCACATCAGCATGTCGGAGAAAGCCAGGTTCCCGATGAAGAAGTTGGTGACGTTGTGCATCTTCTTGGTCTTGCAGATGACGTAGAGGAGCAGGTAGTTGCCAAAGATGCCGACGAGGACGACCAGGGCGTAGCAGGGGATGATGAGGGGTTTGAAGGACTGGATGAGCTGCACCCCAGTGAACTGGGCGCTGGCATTGGAGCGGTTCTGCAGGGCGAGCTCGTAGCCGGTGGCGTTGGCCCCGTCCCCCTCCATGGCTGCTGCTGAGCCCCTCTGCCCGCAGGCAGGTGAGAAAACCCTCGTCTCGACCAGCCTCAGCACCCCAAAATCCAGCGGTTGTGGGTTTCAGGTGTCGAGGGGGCACATCCTGCTCCTCGTCACAGCTTTGTCCCCCCCTGCAGCTGCACAGAACCCTGCCCCACACCCAGGGAGGCTCCTCGGGGTGGTGGCTTCGTCCTGCGGGCTCCTGGGGAGGGAAATGGGAAGTCAGGCTCAGAAAAGGGGCAATGCCAGCGAGCAGCCCTGCGTCGGGAGGGGGAGGCAGCCCTGGGCTGAACAGCAGTTATGACCTGGGGAGGGGGGAGAGGGGAAGGAGGAAAGCAGCGGGGCTGACCGTGGGCTCAGGGGGAGCACTTACCTGAACCTGGTCTCATCAACACCCCTTTAAACGAAGCGTTTGCAGCAATCCTGCCTCTGCCCCAGCCCGGCCGGCGCGGAGGGGCGGCTGCTGGCAGAAGGAAGAGGGAAGCGGCAGCTAAGCCAGAAAATATCTCCTAATGTTTCTGGAAATAACAAAAGACGTTAATGCATAAATGAATAAAGAGGCTCTGGTGCTTTTGCGCTGCCTCCAAGCCTCGTACGCCTGCACCCCACTCATCCATCCCCCTAACGAGATTAACCAGGCTCTCCTCAAAGGCAAGCCTGGCAGCAGCCAGCCCGGCTTTCATCGCCGCTGCAAGTCAGGGGCACAGCAGAGATGTTTTCCCAGATCCCGGCACAGTCCTGCCGAAAGCAATGCCAGCTTTTCCTGTAATCAGCTGCGAAGGGAGTGGGATGAGAAGCAAGGAGAAAATCCAGGGGGAAAAATTAGATCAGACCTGGAAGACGGGTCCCTGCCTGCCCCCCACAGGTGACCAGGTCCTGCCGGGAGCCCCTCACCAGCAGCCAGCCTCGGGGGAGCGCAGGCAGCACCATTCCCCTCCCTGGCACTCGGTGCTCGCTGCCAGACCCCTGGGACCCCCTGCCCAGTGCAGCCCTCTCTCCCGGATTGCTCCCACACCTCCTGCCTTCCTCCTGCCCATGAATCATCCCACCATCCACCCTTCATTTCCTGGGCTATTTCCACGCGTTATTTCCCACTGTTTCCCAGCACAGCACTTGCCACCCTGATTATTTCTCTCTGTACCAGACGTTATTTCACACTTAAACCCTCACGTACCTGATCTAGTTGGACCAAAACCACCCGGCAGATTTTGGAAGCCCTGGGGTGAGCCCGGGATCCCTGGGGGGTCTCTGACAGCTCCCCTGGTCTTTGGGGTGTGACTGAACATCTGGAGGACACGCACACAGCTGGAGCCGCACAGCACCCAGCAAAGCCACCCCCAACCAGCTCCCAGGCCGGGGGCTGCGAGCGCTGGGGGCTGCGACTGACTCATGGCTGAGCCTGGGACCGTCGTGCCCGTCACCCTGGGCAAAGCCCACAAGCTCCCAGGCACAAGTTAGCCTGAAAGAACTCTCCAAAGCAGCTTTTAGCCGAACAGGAGCATCTTCTGCTTTAGAACGTCATCCTCGCATCCCCGTTCTTTGCCAAAACTCTTCTCAGTTGCTCCCAAAAGAAAGGCTTTAAGCCACCAGGCACTCGGAACTGACCAGCCTGCTGCCGCGCTCCCCCCGGCTGGCACCCGCCCTACGGGCTACGCGGAGCGGCTGCCTCCCCCGTGCGTGCGGAGCCCTGTCCTGCCGGGGGGATGCTGGCTGCCGTGTGCCACCCTTGCAGCGGGGTGACAAGGGGACACCCCTGCCACAGGGGGGATGGAGCCTGTTTCAGTGCTGGCTGGGTGGGCACAGCACCAACCACACACGGTGTGACCGGGGGTCACATCCTGCGCCGAGACCCTCCGTGCCCCGTTGGGCAGGCGTGCAGTCCCACACCCGGCACGCTCTGTGCCCATTTTGTCTCCATGGCACTGAGACTCGGGTATTAATTACCTGGCAGTTGCCATGGTTATGCCAAAGCCCTTCCTGGAGATGCTGTCACGACACGGTGAGCACAGCGCTGCGGGAAGGGGGACAGAGCATCTCCCCCAAAGCGCCCACCCTTCCCACTGCCGGCACCACAGTGGCTGCTTGTGCCCTTCGCTGCCGGGCGCTCCCCTGGCACGACGGGGGGTTGAAGAGGCCACTGTGCGAATCCGCTGGCACCGACCTGATCCCGCTTTGCATTTCTGCTCTTCCTGCATTTCTTTCTGGGGCTTAATCTGCGCCCAGCGAGAGGTCTTAGTGCAGCTGCCGGATCACGCCGAGCGGCCGGCATTAACAGCGCGTTTCATTCCCGCCTGAGGAATCGGGAGCGACGGATTCACCTGCCTTTGTTCCTGCTCCTCCACGGCTGGCACCCCAGCCTGCGCCCAGCACCTGCAGAGCGCCTCCAGGACGGGCAGCCGGGGGGGCTGCGTCACCCCAGGCTCACCCAGGGCGCTCTGTCCCCCACGAGGCACCTTCAACCCGAGCACCAGCCCTCCCCCCTCGGGCGATGCACCATCACACCGACCAGCTCTGAGCGGTGACGGGTCTCAGAGCTGGTCCCAGTGTGGAAAATAAGCCGGAATCACCCATTTCAGTGAGAAATGCAGTGGTCGTGGCTCTGTGCCTCTCTCCAGAAGTAGCACACACAGCGTCTCGTGCGCTGGGAGCGAGGCAAGGAAAAACTAGATGAGTTAATTGCTCGTTATAGGTTTGCTCTCCCCCCTCTTTCACCCCCAGAGCTCTGGGCAGCGGCAGCTTTCTGCTCCCCATCCCGGGGCACAGCTCAAACCCACACAGGGGAAGGGGCTCGGGGCGCACACTTGCCTTGCGGGAGGTGATGCCCGAGAAACCCCTTCCCAGGCGAAGGCTGCGGGCGATGGCCCTGCGATCCTGTCCCCTCACGGCCCCGGGCCCGGGGCCAGGCACAGCCCACGCTGGCAGCTGACGTGCTGCCAGGCTGCAGCCCATCAGGGCTGGCGGCTGGTTTCACCCCGGCCATCTCCGGCCTCTCCCAAGCCATTACCGTGTGACGACAGCAATCTTCCCTCCGTGCGTCGATCAGCTCATCTCTGCGGCTTTTTCTATAATGTGGGGAAAATAATAATAATAAAAAAAAAAGACACCCCCGTGCTCCCTTCCCAGCCCACACCAGCTGCCGATTCAGGGCTCCCCTTTAAAGTCAACCTCACTGCCAGGTAATGTCATGCGTGTGATGGATTTGGGCAATTTTCTCAATAAGGAGTTTTAATTATATTATTTCAGTGGCTGCTTGTTCTGGGCAGCTTCTGGCTGCGTTTCCTGGGCTGCTGTGAAAACTTTGTCCCGTTGATCCAAACAGGCGATGGGCAGAGCGATTCCTGCCGGAACAAAAAGGACGATTAGAAGGGAACGTGCAGGATCATCGGTGCCAGGGCTGCGCGGGGAGGGGGCACCTCAGCCTCAGGGCACCATGTGCTCCCCCAGAAGGGATGGCTGAGCTCACGTGGACACCCAAGTCCCGAGCCAGAGCACGGTGCAACCTTCCTCCTGCCAGACACACTGGGGCTGGGAGAGCCCCTGAGCCTCTCCTGGCAGCAGCTCCCCAGGGGCTGCTTGCTGGGACCCCCAGCCCCCCGGGTTCGCAGCACAACCCGCAGCACCGTGGCGATTGCACACGTGGAGGAGGCTTTCCCGAGAGGAGGCAGGGAGCAGCGGGAGGCAGCAGGCTGGCACGGGAGTACCAGAGCACGGGCCGGATTAACTCCGGGGTGTTTGCACTTCCATTGTTATTGCAATACAAAAAAGGCAAAAAGGGCATTTCTGGAAACACAGTAGGAATGGAGGGGGCAGGGAGCAGAGACAAGGGGGGATATCCAAAACCCAGACAGTTTGTGTGCCCCTGCAAGGATCTGTCCCAACTGGCACGAGGCACTTGCAGCTCCTGGCACAGGGTGTCCCCACAATCCCCGTCATGTCAGCTCCACTCCCAGAGCCACGAAGTCTTCTCCGAGCTGCAGCAATTCTATGGTGTTCTAGGATCATCCTCATCACCTAGGTCTTCCTCCGAGAGCTCTTCCTCATGGGCTTCGGACTTGGCATCATCTTCCACTGGGGAGAGGGGGATGCAGGGCTGTAGCAGCAGGAGGTGGCCCCGAACCTCCGAGGGGAGGTGAAACCCCCCCGGTGGCAGACACGGCCACCATCCCACCCCGCGGCAGCAAAGGCAGAGCAGAGCCGGCGCAGACCACCGTGTTGAGCCCCTGAATGCCAACAAGCACTAATCCCCCCGCAGACCCGCAATCTCTCCACCCCCAGGGTGAAGCAGTCCTGTTGAGGGCACAGGCTGCCGCCAGGGCCACCGTGGGACCCAGGAGCATCCCCCGGGCAGCCCCCAGCCCACGCACTCGCCCCAGCCCTGCAGCTGGGTGGCACTCACAGGTGACATGCTGCCCGCTGAGATACACTGGTCCAGTTCCACACTTGAGCACAAAGGTGACGGGAGGGACCAGCTCCAGACCTTTGAGGCTGATCTGCAAAGAGTCAGAGCTCAGAGATCCCCTGCCCAGGGTGAAATGATCGCCCCACGGCCAGGGGCCGCACGCTGCGCCTTTGTCTGCCCTTACCATGGGGAGCACCGAGCTCCGCAGCGCCGCGATGGGCACCGGCTTGTGGTCTCTGTAGGTGTTTTTGGAATCAACGGCCACGACGTGCGGCTCATCCCTGGCGCCAGCCCCCAGGCAGATCTGCAGAGCCAAGCAGAGACCCCGGGGCAGGGAGCCCGGCCGTCAGTCAGCCCTGCTGCTGGGGCACAGGCTCTTCAGCGAGCTTCGGATCTCACCGTTCTCAGCAGGACCAGGTGCTCCAAGAAGTCGTCGTTCTCCTTCACCACGCAGCTCCGGGCGTCCGCGCTCAGCTCGCAGCCTGCGGGGACGCAGCATCGTCTGTGCACGGCGAGCTCCTGCCCCGCGCGAGCCGAAAGCAAAGGGGAGGCTTTCCCGGGTGCGCAGAGCACGGGAAAGGGGGAAACACCCCCCGTGCACACCCACCCCGGGTGCTCTCGGGGCACGGCCACCATCCACCCAACCCCTCCTGCCTGCGGGTCCCACCAAAGCCGCCCGGGGCGCGCAGGTCCGTACCCCACAGGGCAGCAACGTGTCTCTCCTCCGACAGCAACCTGAGGAAGGAAGAGGAGCTGCTCATCCTCCACAGCAGATCCAACACCAGCAGCAAAAAAAAACAGCTCCTGCAAGAGAAACACCAGAGAAAACAGCGTTTGGCTGGTCTGGAGCAGAAATCCACAGAAGAAATGGGACTTTGGAGCACTGAGAGCAAACTCTCTGGTTCCAAAAGCCCAGAGCCAGGACAGCAGCACACGAGCAGCTCGCACTAGGAGAGTGGCTGGACCAGCATCCCTTTGGCAAGGGGAGCATTGCTACCTGCAGGATGAAACCACCTAGGTGCTTATGCATCCCCCCAGGAAAGGGAAAGCCTTTGCAGACAGAATCAGCTCTAAGAGGACAAGCAGCCTCCCTGCAGCAGGGGAGCGCTGGAGGCAGAAGCAGCTTGGGGCAGTCGGTGCCCCCTCCCAGCACAGACCAGTTTCAGCTGACCAGAGCAGCTAAAGCCCCCGAGAAGCATTTAGTACAGAGAGAGCACTTGGAGGCCTCCAAACGCCACACCAGCACCAGGGACTTGGTCAGCATCGGTGTTTAACCCAGCAGCACAACCCAGCACAGGGACTGGGGTGTCAGAGGGAACCTGCCCCCACCCCACGCACAGCAGCAGCCCCAGGGGATGGCAGGACGTGCGCCCACCCGTGCGTCCC